AAATTAGCATCTTTTTTGACACTTTTAGGTTATTCGAAAATGTATATTTTTACATATTTGGATTTGTCTGTTTTCAAGGTTTATAAATAACTTTACTTTTTGCAATTTGATTCGGCCGTTCTCGAGTTATTCGAATTTTTCTAGAAAAATCTGCTCCAGCAGACAGATTTGTTCAAAAAATCAGAGAACATTCGATTTTTGGGATATCAATTTAGGATTCAGAACATGCTTAAGCAACATGATGGAGTATGTTTTAGTGCCGAGAACGGCTGTCTAGAACGTTTGGTCACTTTACTATGGCACGTTAACTTTTCAAAATTTGGAAGCACCATAACTTAATTTTTTTAAATGGCACCCCCATATTTTATTACTCAGTCGTGTTCAGTGTCTCATTCTACATCTTTTATATCCCATATGTCCCATACCTAACATTAATAGTTTGGGAGATAATTACGGTTTTTTGAAGGTATTTGGAGGTTTTTATTTATAAAATTTAATTTAAATTGAGTTGTTGGCAGTTTTGCAAGCACTTCAAGAATGCAGAGTCGATTATCGATATACCAAACTTATTTATAACATCTACAAGAATGCTACAATGACGGTAAAATTGCATGAAAGTACTGAAGAAAGTAGAAATAGTAAAGCACTGATTGTAAGTAAAACAACTGGATTTGACCCAAAAAGGCATAAACATTAACCCAGATATGCCTAAATTAAAACCACTTTACAAATCATAATAACTTTATTGAAAACTTATTTAAAGAAGCAAAACAAAGTCTTACAAACAAACCATGACAATTTGTTTTTTTTTAAATTGGAAATTCGGGCCGTCCTACATGTAGGACATTCGGCACATGAATATCTATAAACGTAAAATTATTTATTAGTGTGATACTGAACAAAACACTTCGTGTGTACACCAATGTCACATTTTGCGCATCTCGTTGTAGTTTTTTGATGGCAATGAGCACACCTAGTTTGTTTTTCTTGGGGCATAACTAAATGATCTATTCGGTCGAACCGTATATCTATTTCGTGGGACCTACTGGTATGTCCTTTTTGATATGACGATGTTTTTTATTCTGAACCAACAGCAATTCTCCTTCTAAAACTAAGTTGATCTAATTCTCCTCCATTCTTGCGATGCAAATGCCATGCGTTTTGAATTGCCATGTCAATACAGTGAGATATCAAAGGAAAATACCATTTTTTTCCTCTGATCGAAATTCGATATAAGCTGATATTTTGGTCAGAGCGGTCGACACCTCCCATATTTGTATTGTACATCTGTATAAGATGCGGCTGCTGTACCTGAATATTCTTCTTTTCTTTTTGCGAATAACGTGTGACCGAGTGAATTGGGGCAACTCCAGAAAAATTGGAACAAACAGAAACTACACTATTATCGTGCCACTTTACTGCAATTATATTCTGTTCTACAATTTTTGCATAATCATAACTTCCTCTGCGCTGCTTCTTTATGAGTTTTGAATCTATAAGAGAAATGTCTTTTAGCCTGTTTTCTCTAACCGTACCAGTAGCATAAAAATTCCAGTCAGTTAGTTTTTCGATCAACGGAATTGACGTAAAAAAGTTATCAAAAAAGAGATGAAATTTTTTATCTGGCCATTCCTTACGTAAAGCTTGCGCATATTCTAAGACTACTCCAGCACCAACTCCCAATTCAGAAAAGTTTTCACTTATATTTGTAGAGGCTCCTTGATAAGGTTCGAACCAATTCAAGTAACCTAACCTGGTACTTCCTACCCATAACTTATATCCATAGCGCATGGGTTTTCCTCGAATATACTGCTTACAGCTATGACGTCCATAATACGGAACCATAGCTTCATCAACTGAGTGCATTTCTTCAAGCGAGGAATTCTCCATGAATTTTTTATTCAACAGTGTGAAAAGCGGCCTTAGTTTAGCGAATTTGTCACCCTGGTCCAACTGCTGATTATCACAGACGTGAAGATTAGAAAACAAATACTCAAACCGGTCCCTTGTAATTGCTTCTGTAATCATGACGTTATGGCAATCTTTTTCACGTTCCCAGAACATCCTCCGTCTCGGTACTTGCATATATCCACTAAGTATCAAAACGCCTATAAAAGCGTTTACTTCCTGCTTTTCTATATTCGCTTTTCTATTTTTTTGTTGTGCGTACTTATTACTCTGATTCAAAATCAATTCTATTACTTCTTCGTCAAAAAATTTTGAGAAAAGCTCTAAGGGGTTTTCTGTGATCGCCGAATTCGTAGGACTATCAAAGTCGGTGGGCGGTAATTTCAAATCTTCTTTTATCCAACTGTAGTGCATCTGTCTCTTTTTAGTTTTTACTTTTTGTTTGTTTCTTGCTGCCGTGTTTTGTGATTGTAACTCTGATAGAGGTATATTGTCATCTGATGAAAAATCACTGTCGTAGTTACTTTCAATTACGATTTCCACCGGCGCTTGTAACTGTGATGCCGGTAGGTTATTCACTGTAAGATCATTTTCTGCTCCAGAATCTTCATCTGTCAGGTCGGCTGCAGCGTTTACAGGAGGAAATATAGTTATTTCATCAACCTGGCTGACAATGTCGTCATTGTCCTCAAGCATAGCAAGGGCTTCATGAAGCGAAAACCCCCTGCAATAATCCATTTCCAACTTATCTTGACTTTCGGATGCACTTAAAACAAAATCTAAAGAAAATACCTAAACTGCAAGTTATCACTCTCACTGCTACATCTAAAAAGCACGACTTCATGTGACGTGCGCATTTCCATTGACCTTGCAAGTTTCAACAGGAATTGACCGTCCTAAATGTAGTTACATGTAGTTTACATTAGGCATGTCTGGGTTAATTGCAAATGCTTAAGTAATTTGCGCTACGCGGCCGATATAGTTCTTATTTCGGATAGGCTTAGAGAGATTAATGCTGAACGACTTAAAGGGGGTGTGTGCAAAAGTTGGGCTAAATACCAACGAGGAGAAATTAAAATTTATGATAAATCTTGTTCCCAGCTCTAACATCAACATTGGGGATAACGAGACTGAGGTATGTATATCTTGGAGGAGCTACTTTCTCCTCTTTTAATTGTTTTAAAAGAATCCTCTGGCACGTTTGGACCAAGGGTACTAAATACAATGTTCAAAGCAGATAACATATCCGTTTTGGCAACAAAGTTATAAGACTAACTTCTAAATTTTATTAGAAGATTTTCTAATCAAGTTATTCTCTGCTAGTACAATGTCAATTTGCATCAGGTAATATTTAAAAATTGCAATCCCTAACGCATAACGAGTTGTCTTCCCCATTAAATATTTATTAAAGTTTTTAAATACGCGTGGTTTGCAACTGGATATTGTATAGAGAACAGACCAGAACAGTTTGAAAATTCCGTGAAAAACCAACGTGCGATATCTGTGGAGATATTGCTGTTATAACTTGTGCATGGTGTAAATAGTCTTTCTGTAACATTTTTTTCATGATTTTTTTTATTGCCAACAATACATTGAACAAAAATAAGTAAAAAAAGAAATTAAACTAATAATGTAGAATAGAATTTGTGAAATTTAACAGTTCCGACCCTTCCCTTGTTAGATTGTTAGAACTAGAAGAAAGTTTTGGGGTTAGGCATCTTAACAGGCGCATGGCTAAACCAGAAACTAAACTTTCTAATTGTAGGTCTGGTGTTTTTAATCATTTCAAATTGAAATCTTTTTCTGATTTCTTATTATTCTTATAGATGTGGTGGATTGTAACACACCATCAATAACGCTATCACAACCAACAATAAGAGAAGCAGTTCCACCAAATTCTTTACAACTATTATTATCGCAAGATCTAAAAGCTAATAAACCGATTTGTTTTTCACAACCTATCAATAACGAAGATCTTATTTTGGGATCACAAATTCAATTTACTCAAAGTCCCGTCAATCACGTATGTTTTATACTTTTTAATAATCTTGAGCAAAACTTTTAATTTTTTTATTGTTAGACTAATTTCCAACGATTAATCAAACGAATGACGCGATTCTTCGTTACAACCAATATCGAGGAAACTATAAAGTATTTGGGGGTGGTGTTAGATCAATTACACATGAGGTGGAGCATAAACGCAGAAAGAGCGGTAATTTTTTCTTAATTTTGATATATATATTTTAATTACAGATTTTTTTTATAGTTGATTGTTACAACAACAGATATTAGGAAAACTAAGTTGAGCTTTAAAGGAAGTTTTATTAACATGGATGGTAAATTATTGGTTGATTTTCAACTGGTGAAAGGTTGCGGGATTGAGTTTAAGAAAAGATTTGTGAAAATAAAAGAGTTGGCCAAAGATATTATTGCTCCAAATCCTTAAATAAGAGTTCCTAAATGTTTTTTTTTGTATTAATATTATTGTTAAAAAGATTGTAACTTATTTTGTAATAATATACATTTTTGATACATTGTTTGTAATAAAAAAATTAAAAATTCGGTAGTAGTATAGCTATGTGTGTTTTGGACCAAAATCCCATGGTATAGACACTTTTTTACAGAGAATTTCATAACGTTTTGAGATATGAGAATTTTCGTTTCTTTAAATGGAAACAACCACTGATTACTCGCTTATTAAATTCGTGTGATTACAAAAATATAGGGTTCGACAGGTCTATTTCTTATTGTTTTAGAATAAAGCCAAAAATAAACTTTTCTTTTAGTGTCGTCGAAGAAATTAAATTTACAGTTTCCTGTAAATTACGGTTCAATAACTAAAAATTAAAAAAACATATTTCTAATATTTGAAATAAATATATTTGTTGAACTGTTTAATTTATATATGTTTTACACGAAAGTTGGAATAGATTGCATTATTTCACATTTTTTATTACGATTTAATATTATTTTTAAATGACTTAATAAATTATCAATAGATGGCGCTCAAATGTTTTTTTTTTTTCCTGTTTTTAAGATCAATTACGAAAAGTTTGACATGTTAGAATGTTACATATTAAAAAATTATTTGTTTTTAAATACCAGAAGTTATCTTCGTATTTAATTGTTAACTTTTTAGATTTTATTTACCGCCCCGTAACTTACAGGAAACTGTAAATTTAATTTCCTCGACGACACTAGATGGAAATTTTATAAAAAAAGTTTATTTTTGGCTTTATTCTAAAACGATAAGAAATAGACCTGCCGAACCCTATATTTTTGTAATCAGAAAAAAATAACGAATTTAATAAGCGAATAATCAGTGGTGATTTCGGACCCCTATGTTAAACTTATGGCATTTTGGTCTAGAACGCACATATCTATACTACTTGTAGTAATAAATTAAACTTTATTTATTAATATTTAGTGTTAATTAAATGGACAATCGTCTTCTCCGGTATTTGTTACACAATATGTTCCTCTAGCACTGCAAAAAAAAATGGTGTCTTAGTATTAATTTATTTTTAATGAATCAAACTTACTTAAAAGGTGTATCATGTCCCATTGGAATGCTTTTTCCTGGTAAATACCCCCAATTTGAGCTTTTTTTCGGGCAATGATCGCTACAAAGCCTTCCTATCATAGCAGAACCATCACGAACAGTAGCAGCAAAGTAACACGCACTTTGAAAATGACTACATCTAGCTCTTCCTATATTATTAACAAATAAATTACAAAAAGAATTAATTTCAATTTGAAACTAACTTAATTTATGTCCTTTACATCCCGGTTGGTGAATCCCACCATTAACACAGAAATTAACGTGTCCACTCCGGTGGGAATCCCCCAAAACCCCCGCATTTGTATGAATAATTTGGACTTGATGAGCATCTTCAGGTGATAATCGAAATTCGGTACTTCCAAATTGAGACACCAAAGGTCGAGCTGGATCTAACCCGACTATTTTATGTTGCTTAATGGTCAAATGATTGCTAACCATTCCGCAAATATGAGCACCCAAAGAGTGACCAACACAAACGGTTTTTTCAGCTAAACCACCTAAATCCATTATGTAAGCGTATAACTGCGCTACGCATTGCCCAAGTAACCGAGTATTTGACAGTGATGATATGTAACAAGGAAATCTAGCTAAAGGAAGCCAATCGACCATAAAAACGTTATAATCACCTCTCTGAAGATAAGCTAAAAAGTTAAAATTGAGTGAGTTGTAAAAAATTTGATTTTAATCGAACCATCTCGAATTATTGTCATGGGTGTTTTTGATTCGGTTCCGTTAAACCCATGAATTATTATTACATTTTTCTTTTGGGAATCCCACCCGGAATATGATAAAGCTAAAGAATTTCGAACATCTATTCGTTTTCTCATTGGTTTGTGGTACGAGTAATCGTCCCTAAAAATATTTAAAAAAGTTACGTTATTAAAAAAAAGTATTAATGAAATAAATCTTACGGTGTGTATAAATAAAATTTGATGTCATTATCCGGGCACGAATATCTCTTTTTCAACAAGCAAGTCCAATAACTTACATCCAAAACATTTCCGATGCCACAAAATGTAACTAAAACACCAATTATATTTAAATAATTTAATAATAATCATTTATATTTACGATGTATTAAAGTGATCCCAAAAATAACTTCACACTTCATCGTTAAATAATAAAATTTATTTGCACAACCTAAATTGTGATCCACTCTAGATGACTTCGAAACAAGATTTGATGTAATAATGTAGGCCACGAAGGCTCATCGGGTCAATGTGAAGAATTCACTCTGGCATTTCATAAAACAGTTATTTCAGCGTTGTATACACTATAAGTACAGTTTGAGAAGTGCCTCTCTCTGTATTGCGTTAACAAATGATAAAATCACTTTCTAATTTGCAAAATAATAAAACAACCAAAAGTAATGTTTATCTATGCACATTCCATATTTATCTTATTGGCTATAAAACCAGACTTGAGATTACGAAAACTAATTTATTTCAAAGACAGGTTTAACTAGTAACAAAATTACTAGTTGGTGAATTTACCCAAAAATTTGAAAACGATTTGAATTAATAAAGAACGGAATTAATTACACAACTTTTAGGATTGTTCATTTATGCCGTGGTTTTTTAACTACATTAATCCTGTTCATGACAGTGTCAACGCTTGAAAGTGATCGAGTGAAAAGATTTAGTCTTTTTAAACTAATTCGATCTGAAATTGGTTTAGGTCCTTTAATTTTTTTTTTAGTTATTTCAGGCTCAGGTTCAAATAATTGATTTGTAATCATCTCCATGGTTTCAACTTCTTCTTTAGACATGAAATGATGTTGTTTTTCATGTTCCGGTTTCATATGGTAATAAGTTAATTTTTCACCATCATGTTGGTGCTTATAATACCAAGCGATGGCGAACATAAGATCGTAATCGCTTTCTGTGAAAACTGTTTCGTCTTGTCTTAACTCCCGATTATACAAAGTTGCAAAAAACACGAGGGCTATTAATTGGAGTTTGTTGGATGTTTGGTAATGGATTCCGGATGCTTGTTCTTCGTCGTCATAAATTTTAGTCACTTTAGGGGTGTCATTAATAACTTTATCGATATTTTCAACATTTTCGGTGCCTCCTCTTAGATATTTCTTCTTTCTGTTAAAGAATCGGCAGAAATATTTCAGTTCTTCAATGAAATAAGTGAGAATTGAGAATTCTTTTCGTTGGTTAGCAACGAAATCGCGGGAATCTTCGTAATGTAAAGTGATTATTGCTATGTAAAGATTTACAACAACTTGTTGCCATATTCTGTAAGATGCATAAAAAATCATACTGGCCATCGGTAAAATGGTTTGAATTTCATCGAAATCGTATTCAGGATATTGATCAACACCCAGCAAAGACACCACTATTATTGAACTGTAGATATTCTTAAACATTTCGGTATAAGAACCAAATAAAATCCGTGATATTATTATGTAAGGAACATACATTGCAAAACTATAAATAAAAGCACCTAAAAATTTATACATCATTGAATTAATATTGAGGTGACAAAAAAATCTTACTAATTAAAGGCCCCGTTTGAGTTTTAATGGCCTTTTCAAAAACTTTAAACATAAATCCAAATCGTAAAAACCTCCAAGTACCCAAAACAGATATACACATTAAAACAGCAATAAAAATCGTAATAGCTTCAATGTAATATTCGACTAAAAAGTATTTTGTAAATACGTTATTTTTATTACGCGATAAGTCATCTAAGATTTTATTAACAACAGTCTGTTTATGGACGTGCAAACCAATTACAGAAAAATTTCCAAATAAAATAATCATATCCAAATAATTAATACCATGTTTCCAAAATTCCCAACCATCATAAATAATTTTCGAAACTATATTTGCGAATTGAAAGAAAACCAATATACAGTACAACAAAAACATTGAAATCACAATTAATTGACCATGTATATCGACGAACATTAATGATAAACTGTAGATCATATAACTTTTTGCAACGCATCCCGTTGGATGAAATTCAAAACAAATCGTAATAATTGAAAAAAGATTCGTATTGGCGTTATATGCCCAAAATTCTATAAAAACCACCCTGGTAAATCTGTTGATCCAATTTTCCTCCGCAATTTCGTTTAGGTTATAATAAGCATTTTGAAGTGTTCTCCCTGCATTCGTTATATAACCGCCACCGTAATACGTAGAATATCTACCAAAATAAGCGGTTAATCCAGCTTCATTAGGCGAATAATATTTCCATAATGAATCTACTTCCTGTTTACTTGTTTTATCCTCATGTCTAGGCGCATATGGAGGAATACACTTTGTGATTTTGAACACTTCCGCAGATAAATATTCGTCAGGACATTTTCGCGCCACAACTTTCTTTTGTCGAAGTCGGGCTACTCCTAAGAATTTAGTTTGAAAGTCTAACATTAATCCAGGATCATTTGCACGATAATCTCCGTACCATGTAAAAGTATTTAGGGTAAGTACAAATGTTTCATTTAAATATTTCACAAGTCTGTAACATTATACAGGATGTCTCACGTAACTGGTTCGTTAGAACTTTTTAAGGTTCCACTATTCGTAGTGGTTTGAAATTTTGGTAGCATGGGTTGTTCATTCTAAACTTTCGATCTAAAATATTTTCAAAATGGCCACCCCTTCCGGTCTACCTTTCAATTATACGTAAAAAAATATGTTGACTTTGATAAAAGTTGTTGGTACCTAGCGTTTTTTGTTTTCGAGTTATTTTGATTTTAAGTGTTTTTTGACAAATTTCGCAAAAGCCCATATCTCAGCTAACGATCATTCAAAAAAGCTGTGCATTGGCAAGACTACTCTACAGATGCTGCCAAATAGATTGTCATTTGTTGTATCAGAGAATCTTATACAGGCTGGTCAAAAATTGAATTATCGTTTCTCAATATTCAATTGCGAGAAAGTCGAAAATTTTAAATGGAACACCCCATATTTCTTTACCCTATCAGAAAGGGAATTTAATTCTCTACAAATTATCTATAAACATTCCTATACCTATTTATTGTAGTTTCCCTGATATTGGGACATTAATCAAAGCATGCACGGAATGCGGGAAAACGTTTGATTTTTTTATTAGAAGGCAATGGAATTTTGACAGTTTTTGGTCCATATTTGTGTTATTGTTGTTGTTACTTACTTTTGATCACGAGTGAAAGTCATTGTATATCATGGCAAATTATTCCAACGCCGATATTTTAAATTTG